AATAGATACTGAAATATAAACCTTATTTAAAACAACCAGGAGGGCTGGGCACTGTGGTTCATGTCTGTAATCCTAGCACTCTGGGAGGCCAAGGTGAGAGGACTGCTTGAGCTCAGGAGTTCGAGACCAGCCTGAGCAAGAGGTAGACACCATCTCTACTAAAAATAGAAAAATTAGCTGGGTGTTGTGGCACATTCCTGTAGTCCCAGATACTCAGGAGGCTGAGGCAGAATGATCACTTGAGCCCAGGAGTTTGAGCTTGCAATGAGCTATGATGAGCCACTGCAGTCTACCGGGGGTGACAGAACAAGGTTCTGTCTGAAAAAAAAAAAGAGAGAATAGTCAAAATGATGAAAATTATTTTTGCTTATACTGTGCTCCACTCATACAAGCCTCTCAATATCAAGAGAACCAGATGTAGTAAATCCTTTACTAGACACAGGATTTAGCAGAAACAAAATTATACAGCTGAGTTTCCTAATGAAAAGTCACCCAAAATCAGAGGTTAACAATAAAATAATCCCTTTCTAGTACTGGACCTCAATAGCACTACCAGACGACAAATACAAAAAGATAGGAGGAGAAAAGCATCATACTATTTTCAATCCTTCTAGAAAATGAGAGGAGAAAATAAGAACAACAAATTTAAACTACATTAAAGGAATATTTAACAGGGTCCTTTAAATAATTAGTAATGATCAGGTATTTAGTTTTCAGAATATGTAGGTTGTGTGTATTTTTTTTCCTAATAAAGCATTTCACATTCTAATTAAAAAAATACTTTATGGAGGAATTAAAAAGATACAATAGTGTCAGAGGAAAAGCCATGATCCCAGAAGTAGAATATTCTAACAACATAACTTATAAGAAACTATGCTATAAAAACAGATTGTTGATTAACACAAACTCATAACAAAACGCAGAGAGCTATCACAATGGTTCTGTAATAACACTTGGCTGCTGAATTCTTTCAATACATTAAATATCTCCTTGGAGACCAAAGTACTTTACATTTTCTTAAAAGACAATTTATTGTAGCTTTGTTTTCTTCTCATTATCTCTTAAAAATATTTCTAATGAAGGAAAGAATAGAACTTCTAACTAACTTACATAAAATGGTACTAATGTGACAACAGACTTTGTTTTAATATGCTGGTTATTATTTAACAGCACACAACAACCTATTGTCACGACAAATCCTTACCACAATACGATATTCCATGCGTCATATGTAACAAAAAACCACTGTATGCCATTATTATGGCACTCATAAAATTAACAGCTTCAGGCTGCTAGCAATTTAAATAATTGATAAGTTTTCAATTAAAAAGGCAACATTTTCAGGTCTAATACAAAAATCTATTTAAATTACTGATAAAAACTTACACTTGTATTGGCCCAAAGCCAGAAAATGCTTGCATTCGAAGGAGAAGAAAAGTAATTCTCCAAGTTTCAACTCAGAGGTTGCAAATTTGTTTTTATTCTTATTCAGAGATATAGGTTGTTTATTCACTTAACCTTTGTAATCAATAGAAAAGAATGATTAAAGAACTAATGGTAAAAGTGTCTCTATTTTTGCTTTCCCCCATATAGCTTTTAAAGAAATACTAAAGTGACCATGGATTGAATTTCATATGAAAAACTAAGCTGGGTTTGTTTTTTATTTTTTTTAAAAACAAAAATGTGCTCATCTATCAGAATCTTCCCTATGCCATTACACCAAATCCTGTAATTAAACTTCAGGGCCAAATTAAACCTAAAAAATAAATACCAATACAAATTTTTAATAACAGGCTGGTAATCATGAGGACTAATAACCAAAATCTATTGTGAGATTAGGTCCAAACGATTCTCTTCACAGAAAAACTGCAACCCAAAGGAATTTCAACATAAGAACCAAGACAGATCAAAATGATAGCCAATCAATCTTATTTGTGCTTTTTGCAAAAGATATTCCCCTACTCTTTACCTTTTAAATGTTTACTTGAGAGTTTGACTCTACACAAACAAAGGGTATGCGATGGTAGGGGCTATAGCAAAAGATAAGAGGAAAAGGAGACCCATTTAAGTTTTAAATTATTTAAAATGTGTTAACTCTCCCAGACATATTTTCATTTCAAAATATTTTACTGAAACACTCAGTGTCAGAAAGATGGAGCTCTACCTTTCTGTACGTGAAAATTGGGGGGTGGGGGGGACTCAGTTTCCAACTATAAATATTTATTGGGTGAATTAATTAGAAAACCTGAAGCTGATCAGCCAGACTACAATCCATGGACCAGTGCCAATGCATAAAAAGTTTTCATCCATCCACAGCAAAATAAGAAAAAACAATAATAATGTAGTGAAAGAAATGGTCATCTTTACTTTTGAGACTATGTCTTGCCCACTGTTTTACCCTTAAAATGACTCCAGCTATTTTTCTTTGTTAATTAAATAATGATAATAGATACTTTTCACTAGTTTACTTATTTTACGAATGTTTCTATTTGGTAAAATTAAAAGTTACCGTGCCTATGTCTGTCCCCCAACCTAAAAATGAAAAACTGATTAGTTCATCAAATGCAAACATTTGGGGATCAATGAGCTAGATGACTTCCATTCAGACTAAAAAGGGGCTCCCAAGAAATCTTGGGAATTTTAAGTTCAGGGCATATAATGTAAGGTTATGTAATCATGACTAATATTTTCTTACAACACAAAAATAATTAAACATTGCATTTGAGAAGATAAGCATAAGTTGTAAGGAACATATGGTATAGAAATCACAACTAAGGTATTATAAAAACACAAATCATTCAGAATTTAATAATGCAGATGACATACAAAGATCCCAGTATGAATCTGCAAGGAGTAAACGAGCATTGGCTTTGGCATAGGAAAATTCCATATTCACATTCACACTAGTTAAACCCTGAGCATGTCTCTTAACCACAGCTTCCTCATCTAAAAAATAGGGATGGTAGGACCCGGCGCGGTGGCTCACGCCTGTAATCCTAGCTCTCTGGGAGGCCGAGGCGGGTGGATTTTTGAGCTCAGGAGTTCGAAACCAGCCTGAGCAAGAGCGAGACCCCGTCTCTACTAAAAATAGAAAGAAATTAATCAGACAACTAAAAATATATAGAAGAAATTAGCCGGGCATGGTGGCGCATGCCTGTAGTCCCAGCTACTCGGGAGGCTGAGGCAGAAGGATGGCTTGAGCCCAGGAGTTTGAGGTTGCTGTGAGCTAGGATGACGCCACGGCACTCACTCTAGCCAGGGCAACACAGTGAGACTCTGTCTCAAAAAAAAAAAAAAAAAAAAAAGGGATGGTAATATCCATCTCACAGAGTGATTATTAAAACTCAAAAAAATGAAATACCTCAAGCAGTTTTTATATAGCAGGCACTTAAATATGGAAATGATTGTTATTATCACTATGATCATATCTAGTCACATTTTCAAAAAGCACAATTTGTAAGATCATACCAATAGTACATATCTTTTGTGTGTAGTTATGTTGAATACATAATGAAAACATACTGATGTCAGTTCTCTGCAATGGACATATGTGAGAAAATTAGAACCCATCTCCATGTGTGCATGTATGTATGTATATGTTTTCTAAAAATAAGCATGTCACATTCTCAGGAGAGTTAGCCAATCTAGCAGTGCTAGTGCTAGACCTTTGCAGCAGACAATCCTACTCTGCCTTTCAAGGTACTGATGAGCCCAGCTCTAAATTCTCAGTACACAAAGACTCCCACGTAAGTTAATGGGAAGTCAATGGGGAATTGACTTTTCCTACTCTATGCTGGCTGGAATGCAATGCTCTATTAATCATCCCATCCTTTTTGTTCTCTTTCCTCCTAATCTAAATTAAAACTATTGGTGGAAACTCATACACAAAGTTTACAGTTTTCATTACAATGAAACAATATCCTGGTTGAAGTTGAAGTCTATCAAAAACCTGCAACCTAACAGTTGACTAAGATTAGAGTCTCAATGAAAAGCAAGGGCCTTGATTCCACCATTTCCACCACAATACTACTTTGCATTTGTATAGAACTTTTAAGTTTTCAAAGGGCTTTCACATCCATTATCCCATTTGATCATTACAATGACCCAGTGCAGTATAAAGGACAAGTATTATTATCCACAATTGACAGATGAGGCAACTACAACACAGAAAGGTTAAGTGATTTGCCTAAGGCCAGGAAACCAGAGTGAGCTGTGGTCTCCTGACTTTCACTCCAAAGCTCCTTCTACCAGACCACTGGAAAAGGTTTTGTAAACAGATTACAAACTCAGGTAAAATAAAACTTGAGAGGAAAGCTCAAATCAGGTAAACTATGTCTCTTCATCATAGTTGAATTTTTCAAGCTTAGTACAGAAGTTTTAGAAATGTACCCTTTTCTCTTGTTTATCTACTTTAGTACCAGATAAATGTTAACAAAATTTTCACTGAAACTTGAAACACAAAAGAAAAATCATTTCAGAATATATTCAAATCACTCTGATTCAATAAGTAACTCATTTTTGGATGGAGGTAGGAGGATGGGTAGTGCATAAAATAACTGAGAGTACATCTTTAAATTGTATATCCATATTAAGCCTGCAGCTACATTATAACTATAGTCTGGAAGGGTGAAAGAGATCTCCAGTTGAAAGTAGATTTTGAAAAATTTTTTAGAGCCCAGGGGTTCATTTTTAATGAGCCGTTACTTTAAGTACTGCATAAAAAATACAGGAAATTGATAGTCCATTTAGTCTGCACCATACCTAATGCAAAAGTCATTAAGATGCATTATTCTTAATGTTCATGATATGATCAGTAAGTGTCTTTTGAAAAGAATGCCCTTAACTTTCACGTAAGGATGTCTTTGAAAACCTTATTATCTATTATATAGAAAAATATATGGCAACTGTGACTCACTTACATATCTTCGCTGTGCCCAGGAAACAGCATCCTCATTTACATTAACACTTTTAAAAACAGTCCTCGTTTGTAATATACTTACATATGACAGCATTGCCTTCATTTCTTCATCACTTCTCACTGTAATTCGATCACCATCTTCATCTTCATCTGTTTAAAAAACAACATAATGCAAGTGATAAGATTAACATTTTTTTAAGTGTACAAAAACCATGCTGGGTGGGACCATAATACAACTGGTTTTTTACAACTTGATATCCAAACCCTCAACACCATATTTCTGGAGGATGTTGGGATTATTTGTTTGTTGTTTTGTTTTGTTTGGAATACAATCGGGATCTCAATATAGAACCAGATTTTTCTTTTAGGGACAGCTGAAAATTAAAATATTGCAAAGTCATTCACAACATATATCTAGGTTAAAGTAAATATAACTGGAATATGGCAAAACACTTTTGGTTTGAAGAACTTTAAAACCCAAAGAGAGGCTAGTCTTATTCTACTATCAGTACTTTTTTGAGCTCCGAAACAGCCCCCTAACCCTCTCTCTCTCCATTCTTCCTGTCTCCCAGGCAATCTATCATGTCACAGTGGCCATGATAAATATGGCTAACATTTAATGAACACTACTATACACAAGATACCATGAGCTTTGCTTCATATGCAATTCCTCCTTAAAAACCTCACAACAATCCTACAATGTGGACATCATAATCATTATTATTATTCCCTTTTTACAGAAGAACCTGGGGCCTGGTGCAAGATTAACTTGCCAAGCAGCTCTAACACAGGTCCCCCTTTATCACATTCTACTTAGCAACACTCTCTCTTTCTCCTTCTGAACAGTTTCACTTGCTCTGGGTACCCTCTGACCATACAAGCTTCAAATGATGATTCATGCTATTTTGAAATAATCTAACAGTCTTAAGTTTTAAATAAGCATTTAAAGTATTTAAGTAAGTATTTAAAGGATTTAAGTTTTAAATAAGTATCATCAAAGAGGCCACAGCTAGAAACAATGTACTTATTTCAATGATACTTCTCTTATCCAAAGTAGCATTTTGAAATATCCCTTCAAAATAGCTTTCAGAACCTGAAGATAAACCGCATGAAAATATCAGGTATCATTTTTAACCCAAAATGGAACTGTCGGTCTGATCACCCACCCACACCATCTGCCAGACAGGACTCAGAATGACTTCTGGCTATTTCTAAATATTTAGCTAACAACTTCATCCTTCTAAAGATAAAGATTTGTCAACAGTGAGAACAGCCTATGTGTTAGACTCTAAATGCAGTTGAAAGAAAAATGCCAAAAATGTTTTGAGTAATGTACAGAGCCTCCCAAGTGGACAACGCGGAAGGGCAGGCTCTTGGAAGGAGGCCTCAGCTCTGGTACACCCATTAACAATTGGTATTATTTTTTTTTGTCCACTATTGGGCATATGATTGCTGATTTGATCAGATGTGGTGAACACTCTGATCCCAAGCCTAAAGAACCAGACAAATCTCCCATCATGAAGAGAATAAGTCTGCACAACACGCTCTGGGAACATATTGAACGGACAGGGAGAGTTCAGTTCGACACAGGGTTCTTCCCCCACCGTAAGTCAGCAGATCCTTCCTTGGGCACAGCTGCAGTTCTAAAGATACCTCCTTGATTGGTGACCAGGCTGTAGGGACCCTAGGAGGGAGTTTGTGCTCTCTCCCAATTAGCCTATTTCCAAGCAACACATTACTTTCTTTTTCTCCTTGGTAGCCAACAGCAATGTGACAGCATGATGGAAAACAACACTTGGGCCAGGCCTTCAGAGTGACCAAGCCAAAGGCTCTCATCCAGGTTTTCTTTCCAAAGCATTGTCTGGATCCTGGTTCACTCCCACAGAGTTCCCCAATTCGATGTGATTCAGAATCAAGTCACACTGTCTACATAGCTAGAAGCTGCTGAGAGTCACTATTGGTATCACGTTACCAAGAGTTGCATTTTCAGCGTAAAAGGCTCACACTGGCCGCTTTGAGCAACAAAGAAGGCACAATTCTGAGGGATGTTTCACATGTAAAGAATTATAGAGGAATCTAGCACGTTTTCTTTCTTTCTTTCGTTTTGGGTACAGATTCTCTAGGGCCAAATTGGGGGAGAAATGCCATTGTAGCTGTAGGAAGAGAAGAAAACGGTTTCCATATACATTTCAAAAACTAACATTTTCAAGGCTAAGTCTAAAGTTTTCTTAAAAATACAGGAGATAGGACAAAACAGAGTATAAAAGGATATGATATTGCATATTACCACACATGAAAAGCATTTTAGACTTTTGCTTTAAAACAAGGTCAAATTCTGTTTAAATATAGATTAAAATGATTTGTCCTTGACGAGGTCCTGAACTTGGCCAAAACAAAACAAAACAAACAAACAAAAAACCACCAGTTTCCAGTCTGAATGAGGTAGTTTTTAATAAATCTCACTTTTGCACTCAGCTAGCTATAGAGATAATGGTTGCAGAGGTACTGCTTATATTCCAATTTCCATACACATAAGACAATAAGGTATTGTTCGCATGGGATGGGGAGGCGCTTATCGTTTATTAAAATAGGTGAAAAACCTTATAATTTCTAAAGAGGGCATAGATTCCAGAAAGATCATTTGCATCATAATCTCTCTAAATCAAGAACAAAAAAAAAAAAAAGGACGAGTGAGTTCTTTAAGTTCTCAAAGCCAGGGTTTGAACCTTTTAAGGCTACTTAAAATATTTCAGAATTCAAGATTTCCACAAAATCTCTTGAGGGATCATTTCAGAGGGGGAAAAAAACTGTGAGGGAAGTTAGCCACCAAAATAATTTCTTATAAGGCAGTTCTATAAAAACCAGCTATGAAACACTACAAGGGCACTTGCTTTAAGTAGACAGAAAACTGAGGCCAAAAGCTTTTGATGCCAACCTGGTGGTAAAGTGTTAGAGCAATCCCATAAGGGATCTGACTCCAAGAGAAAGATTTCAGATAAGTTGAAAGAGGCATTCTAATAAAACCTGGGGATAAAATCAGACTTACATGATGCAGTGATTAATAGTTCTTAGGGATCAATAGAAGACTTAGTTTTATGTAGGTATTGGTTTTCTTTACAAACTGTTCTTTGGGGGACTATCTGCTTCATTCTTTAATATTTGTGCTTAGTTGAAGAATGAAGATTCATTCTTATCCAAGAGGAGACTGAGTTGGAAAAGTAACCACACCCATGAGAAGACTGGTGCAGTTCTGGCCAAAAGGCAGAATTTGAGCTATCTCTGACCCCTAGATGGTTTGTCCAAGAGCAAACCATTCAGCTTAACATTTAAAGTGAAAATACACTTCTCTCTAAAGACAGTGAATTGATAGGTATGAGAAATTAGTGAAGGGTAAGAAAGTAGAAATACATACTAAGCAATTTAGTATGACAGTAATCTATACCACTTTTCTAAACAAAAAGTTGGACATAGCCCATCTAGCAAAGACTTTGGATATTTGTGTATCAAACTGGATTAGCTATAAAAATTATAGTAGCTGGAACTATAACTCATAAAAACTAACATGGGACAAAGAGTTTCAAAGGTACAAATATGTTGGTAAAGAACACTAAAAAGTAGTGGTACTAAGTAGAAAGAAGTAGAAAAATAATTTGAACTTTTTCTGTCTTATACACGGAGGTTCTTTGCCATCTGACCAAAAAAGCATTACTGGATATGACCAAGGAAAGGGAGGGTGGGGGAAACAGATCTGATACACTGGTTCACAATGAGAATTCCAGGCTTCTCTAGTTGCCTGGAGCATAGTAATATGATTTTCCAGCACATTAGGGAAGCAAAAGTAGAACCAGAAAGTCTATGTACTGGCTGGATTTTGTTAATGTCACTTAAAATGGAGGAAAAAATCCTAGCAAGATACCAAATAGAGTGCAGCAGATGGTAAACAAATATTATGAAGCAATCTTCACAAAATCTGCAGTGTGTCACAAATATACAAAATGGCAGAGTTTGGGAAAAGAGAATCATAACAGGCCATATGTTGTTAGCGATTTTATTTGAAGCAACATGCAATCCAAAAGAAAAACTAAGAAGAGGAACATAAAGGGCCAACAGAGGAGGAAAGGTAGCCTCAGGTAAAGGGTGGTCTGAATGGCCTCCCAAGTAAGCAACAGACTCTGGGGAGCTCTCAGGCAAACATCACCCACTGTGGTGACAGGGGCTCAAGAGGGCTTTCAAAGAGAAACAATCTCACTTCTACAAAGAGCAACAGAAAGTTAAGGCAATATATTATATGTCATTTGTCACACTCCTTCTGTGCCAGGTGGGAGTCAATTAGAACTACAGCAAAGGCATTTTCCCAGGCAAGAGAAAAGAAATGAAAACATAACTGTAGAGATCAGAAAGACATCAACAGGAAACTACCAGAAAAGATGTCAAGTTTAAGGCCCTTCTCAGGTGTCGAGTTTAATGATCTGGGCAGGACTAGAGGCTACAGTTTCTATGGCCAAATCTTCATATCCATGAGTTTTAATTTAGCTCCCTGCCTCCCTCCTCTTGATTCTTCCTTACTTCTTTGCTTTCCTTCCTCCTTCCAGCAAATAAAAGTGCCCCCTATGTGGTAGGCATTATTCTGGGCACTGGGATAGTAACAGTGAAAAAAGAAAAAACAAAGAAAACCCTGTTCTCATGCAGCTTACACTCTAGTGGAGAGCGACTGAAGGAGGTGAGGGATTAGATCATGTAGATTATCCGGGAAAAGAGTGCTCCAGGCAGAGGGAGCAATTAATGCAATGGCCATGGTTAGAGGAGTGGCTGGCATATTCAAGAGACGGAGAGGAAGCCACAGTGGCTAGAACACAATGAGCGGTAGGGAGAGAAATAAATAGGTTCAGAGAAGTAATGGTGGGACAGGGTTGGGGGCAGATGAGAAAATATGGGGCCCTGTTAGGCATTTTAAGAACTTCGCTTTTTATTCTTGAGTAAGATGGAAATCAACAGAGGGTTTTAAGTATGGTAATCTCACTTAACTTCTAAAAGAATCACTCTGGCTGCTCTGTGAAAAGGCTCTATGGAGGCAAAAACAGGGACAGGGAAACCAGTTAGAAGGCCACTGTCCTACTCCAGGTGAGAGATG